AAAAAAAAAAAAAAAGAGTCTTATTAAATATACAAGTTTGAAAGTTCTGAAATTCGTTATTGTTGAAGCAGCGTCATCCAGAGTCTGAAAAAAAAAAAACAGAGTAAAATCATCATCCCATCCACGAGATTAGACTAAGGTTAGTTGGAGGGAGTCTTACCTGGTGGGACCAGCGGAGGGTTACCTGTGCTGAGTTCCATCATGGACGACTACCCTATGCAAGGGTTGTTGGCCCTTTCTGTTCTGATGGGCCCCTTGTTCAGAGTTTTCTTTCCCCTGGGCTTCGGGAGAGTATGTACCTCCCGTATGATGATGCGATCAGGGACAATCAAGCCAGGGCCCACGCCTGCAGAACAGGCTGAGATTGATCGCCGGCAGGCAGAAAAGAAAAAGGAGAAAGAAGAAAGAAAAAGACAGAAAGAGGAGGAAATAAAAAAGAAAATGCAGATGGAAGAAGAAAGAGTGAAGAAGGAAACGAAAGAGAAGTTGGAAAGGGAATTGAAAGAAGAACTGCAGACCATAGAAGAAGAAGATGAACCTGTTGACGACAGGCTCATCAGGCGGCGGACAGAAAAGGGGGAGACCAGCCAGACAGGAGGGGGACTTCAGGTAAAACCGCTGGACTGGTATGATCAGTATGCCTATACCAGCGACCAAATTGAAGAAACAGAGTAGGAGAGAGATCTGTTCATTGCGAAATTGGCATCTATTAAAGATCAAAGGGAAAAAGAACTTTTGCTAGAGGAAAAGCGTGCGGAACTGCATATGAGAATGTTAGCAGCAAAGTGGCAAGAGCTTGATGACAGGAAAAGGCTGCAAGCAGAGGGTATGAGGTTGCATAAAGAACTGCAAGATCAGAAAGAAAAACAGGCTGCAACAGAAGAAAAACTAACCCTCTTGACAGAAACAGTCCTACATACAAAGCAAGAGCTGGAAGCAATTAACAGAACTCTACAAAAGGTTGAAACCCACCAGTATGAGTTTGAAGGAGTCTGGAATACCTTCCTGCAAAAATCCGCCAAAGATGTGGATCTGCACATACAATCATATATTGAAAAATTAGATAATCACATCACCCAGACCTTTACTCCTGCTGTAATTGATAAGATAGTCCGAGGCAGCGGCTGAGGAGGAGGAGATGGAGATGGAGACGGAGATGGGGGAGATGATAAGAAAGGAAAGGGAGTGCTGCGGGACGGCAAAGACACTGATGTGAGGAAAATAAAGGTTAAAGTGTCGTGGACCTACACTGGCAAGAAGGAGGAGAGTGTTCTTCATTGGATCGCGGCCGTAGAATCATACGTATACAGTCATCGCATACCTTATTGGGATAGGGTTCTGATGGCCACTTCGTGCATGGCCGGCGATGCGATGAGCTTCGCCATATCGTTGCAAAAGGAAGCTAACTGCGATACTATGATTGCATATTCACAGCAAACTAGAATTGAAGACTTCTTTAAAGCTGTCAGAGAACGATTTGAAGACAAGAATCTAGCCCACAGAACAGAAATGCTAATTTTAAATATCGCAGATCGGAAATGGAAGAGTGCATCTGCACTCAAGGCAACGATGGATGAACTCTTGCAATGCGCAGAACATGGGCTAACTCCTACCCAAATACTCAACAACTTCGCAAGGGCACTTCCTGACCCTCCCCGTACTCAGCTTTATCCCCGCACAAAGGACGAGGGCATGACGTACGAGAAGTTCAGCAAGATCGCTATAGATCATGTTGGCTTCTTGGCTGAAACTCTTTCTGACCTTTGAAGAAGGAGGTGTCGAAACTCTTTCCTATGACCAAATAGATTATGGTCTGGAGGGAGGACCCAACGGTTCGGTAGTTCAGGAGGGGGACTACGCAGCCGTTGCAGCCCGCGGGGGAGGGCGACAAGGAAGAGGACGTGACCGAGGAAGAGGAGGCCGCAGACTTGGTGGAAGAGGACCCGGTACCCAGAGGGGTGGTGGCGAAGGTAGCTACTACGTGGGTGCAAGGGGCAATGGTCACTCGCAAGGTGGCCGTGGTTTGTACTCCACCTGGGGAAGAGGAAGAGGCGCGTGGTATGGTACATGGGACAAACCATATCTACCCCATCCAGGGTTGCCCGAAGGGGAGCCTTGGAAGAAACTGGGGATTACAGAGAAAGTTTGGCAAGATAGGAAGGCTGCCGATCAATGCCTCAAATGTGGTGACCCCAACCACATCGTTCCCTTTTGTCCCGATTATAAACAACCAAAAGAGAACAACCAGTAGAGGTCTCGGTTGCCTCTACGGGAACTTCGAGTGTAGAAAGAAAGACATCCTTCCATCCGAAGGTTCCACTGGCAGAGACTGAAGAGGAAGACAGTCCCCACCTAGTTAACTGTCCAGAGGTAGTAAGCGTGTGTACCTCTCTAGGTGGATCCCTCGCTGGCATGGGTGATGAGTTGGCCGCTCGTCGCCAAGCCTGGACTGAGATTAAGAAACGTAAAGGACAATTAATAATTGAAGATCTTGAAGTAAATAAAGCAAGAGTTGGGGGAATGATAGATAGTGGATCAACACGCAGCTATATAAGTAAGAACGAGTTGAAGAAGTTGCGTCTCGGGCTGAAGGTTAAACAATTAGATGAGCCTGTAATGAGTAAATTAGCTAATGGTACTATAACTGTAATGGATAGATATGTTGAAGGGGGGTCAAGATATACTTCCGGCTCGAAGTAGAGGGGAAGGTGGAATGCGTTCTCCACTCTCTGACTCTCTTCGTGGAAGATAATCTCCCTCTTGACATTCTTTTAGGCATGGATTGGGCTGAAGCTGCAAATGCAGATATAAAGTTGAGGGACCATGAGTGTTGGCTCCCAAGTCCGCAGGGTGGAAAGAAGAAGATCCGCCTATTTCATGAATCAAGGAAAGTGTTACGGACTCCGCCAGGGCTCGATCCCTGGTCTATCTTTTTGCTGTTTCGGTTGCATCCCGTTTTCGGCCTGACACCCTTTTTCCAAACCCCTCCTTTGGTACAGTAGGATTTTGGACAACTGGCGCCATGCTGCAATTCGGGCGCCACTTTCAAATACTGCATTTTTCAGTTCTGGCCTCGGGGCCTTTGCAGAAAAACCCCTGGTACCGTACGTGTCACCGGTACTTATACCGGCTCCCCGTACGGTATGGGCACCAGTCTCGTACCAGTTTTTTGCTGCTGTACTCGTACTCAGTGTGACTTGTTTCGGCATTCGGAATCCAAGACTTTGACTTTGTGCCTTGCCACTGTGTCTGCGTCCGACCCTCAGTCCGAGTCTGTCGTGTCGAGTGAGTGAGTGTGTGTGTGTGCTCTCACTCTCTCCCTCTCTCTCTCCCTCTCTCTCTCCTCTCCCTCGGCTCACGCTTAGCCTCACGCTCGTTACACTGGTATCGGAGCGGTTCGTACCCGCCCGACCCACCCTGCTTCGACGTCGTCACCTGGCCATCATCAACATCATCGTCGAGATCGTCGTTACCGTGCAACGTCATCATCGTCATCATCGCGATCGTCGTCATTCTGCCCCATCATCATAGTCATCGACGGGATCGCCGCCGTTGTGCCACGTCATCATCACCGTGCCCGTCGTCCTCGTCGCTACACCGCGCCATCCTTGTCATCGTCGTCGTTCCCTTCCCGTAGATAAGTAATCAACGACAATTTTTTTTTTTTTTTTCTTCTTATTTTCCTTCCTCGTTTCTTTTCTTCTTCTTCTTCTTTTCATCATCAGTTTCTTCTTCTTCCTTTTTCTTCTTCCTCCTTTTTCTTCTTCTTTAAATTTTCTTCTTCTCCTTCTTCTTTTTCACGCCCCCACCCCCCTTTTTTCCCATCGCGCTCTACTCCTTCGCGCGCGCTCTTCTTCTTCTCTGCGCACGTGCACACCCCTCCCAATCCCAATCCCGACCCCGCTTCCTCCCGCGCTCCCCGATTCCGCCCACCCCCTGCGCGTCCCGACTCCTTCCCCCAGGCACCCGC